TCTGTGGGTCCTTAGAGAGGGAGGAGAGATGCTGTGTGTGCCACTAACAAAGATCTTCAACACATCCACTGAAACTGGGCAATTCCCTGAGGTATGAAAGATGGCATTAAACTACAGACCTGTGTCACTAACGTATATAGTATGCAAAGTCATGGAGAAGATCATCAGGAGGAGAGTGGTGGAGCACCTGGAAATAACAGTGTATAATAGACAACCAGCACAGTTTCAGGGAAGGAAAATCTTGTCACAAACCTACTGGAGTTTTTTTGACAAAGTGACAGAAGTAAGACAAGAGTTAGAGGGGTGGAAAGACTGTATTTTCTCTGACTGCAAAAAGGCCTTCGACACAGTTCCTCACAAGAGGTTACTGCTAAGGTGATTGTCCTATGAAGAAAGGTTGAGGGAAATCGGCCTGACGACACTGGAGGACAGGAGGGTCAGGGGAGACATGATAACGACATATAGAATACTGCGTGGAATAGACAAGGTGGACAAAGACAGGATATTCCAGAGATGGGACACAGAAGCAAGAGGTCAAGATTGGAAGTTGAAGACTCAGATGAATCAAAGGGATATTAGTAAGTATTTCTTCAGTCATAGAGTTGTCAGGCAGTGTAATAGCCTAGAAAGTGACGTAGTGGAGGCGGGAACCATACATAGTTTTAAGACGAGGTTTGGTAAAGCCTATGGAGCAGGGAGAGAGAGGACCTAGTACCAGTAAGTAAAGAGGCGGGGCCAGGAGCTATGACTCGACCCCTGCAACCACAAATAGGTGAGCACAAATAGGTTAGTACACACACACACACACATGCACACACATCAAGTTCTGAGGAATAATAACAAATACCATCTTTACAACTGGATATTAGATCCTGAGGAGAGACAGAGGGAACATTGAACAGACGTTTATGTACATGTCCTCATGTCTGACAAGTTGTACAAGATACCCAGATGTTGCACGTGTCTAAATTTCATCTTGTAGGTATTGTGTACCATTCTTGTACAACCTATCAGACACTGCAACATCATGGAATCTTGATTCTGAGGACATGTACATAACCTTCTTCACGACTACGACAACTACTACTACAACTAACCCATCTCTTTGGGTAGGACCTACTTCCACTGGGGAATCCCGCCTTCCAGTGACTATGCCCTCTTCTGCTACACGTACCCTTTCCACCTGACGTTAGTATATAAGCGCCAGGCTCCCTGCTTCTGCTCCAAAACCTCCACGACTACGGTGCTCTTCACACCAACTCCAAGGCTGAGGGACTGATTACCTCATCTTCTGTATATGATTCTACTGTCTTCAAGTTATGTCCTAGAATATGTATTGATAAAGCCTCTGGATGGCGAAACGTCTACAATAAAGATACCCAGATGCTGCATATATGTCTTAATATCACATTACCAATTAAAATGCTTACCTTACATTGACTTAAATGTTAAATTTAATATATTTTTCTTTATTTTCATATTATTAATATATCTAGAGGCTGCATAAATTCACTAGACATATTTTGCTATGTCTGCGGGCAATTCATCCCTTCAGATTCCCGGAGCAACATTACTCCTTCATTGAAGTGCTGCTACTTTGCTTATTTTGGCCGCAAACTTGGAAACCAGGACAAACCATTTGCACCACACATAGCTTGCAAGAGTTGTATCAGTAAGCTCCAAATGTGGTCAGATGGACCGCCATGATGACTGCTACTTTTGTATGACTAAAGTAGCTGGATTCAACAAGAAGACTAAAGATTGCATAATATACCCAAATATTCCTTCAGGAATAAGGCCTGTTTCACACTCTGAAGATATTCCTGCACCTGTGCCACCTGAAACATGGCAAATTTCATCAGAGTCTGATACCAGTGATTCTAAGGAGATGGAAGTAGACCATGAACACCAACAAATGACGATCCCAAACCCTTCAACCAAGTTGAGCTCAATGACTTTGTGAGAGACCTTAACCTTCCAAAACACTGAAGGAACACAGGCTTCTAGCTCCTGGAACAACATTCACTTGGTACCGTCATCGTGAAGCGGAATTCACTCAGTTCTTTGACAGAGGAATCTTTAGTTTTCTGATCATATGTTTCTGGCCTTATTGAACACATGGGGTTGTCATACATAGCAGATGAATGGAGACTCTTCACTGATTCTTCTAAAAGAAGTTTAAAGGCTGTACTTCTCTACAATGGCAACACAGCTGCATCTGTGCCAATTGGTCATAGTGTCCAAATGACAGAAACTTACGCAAATATGAAGACACTAATATCTGCAGTCAAGTACCAGAATCACAATTTTCTCATTTGTGGTGATTTAAAAGTTATTGCTCTCCTACTAGGTCTTCAAGGAGGATACACCAAGTATCCTTGTTTTTCTGTGTCTTTGGGACAGTAGGGCAGACAGCCAGCACTATAAACAAAAAGACTGACCACCAAGAACCAGCTTCTTACCCGGAAATTACACCGTGAAAACTGTACCACTAGTTGAAAATTTCTGTGAAGGCATTGAACAAGAATGGAACTGCTTTCAAATACCTGGAATCAAAGTTTCCTCGTATAAGTGAAGGCAAGCTAAAGGCAGGAATCCTTGTTGACCCTCAGATTCAGGAATTGATGAATGACAAGCGTTTTGATGAAGCATTATCAGGTGTCGAGGTGAATGCCTGATTTTCATTCAAGCAGATTGTCCACATCTTCCTGGGAAACATGTGCTCCCCAGAATATGAAAAAATGATCCAAGACCTGATATCACGTTTCCAACAACTTGGGTCTAGAATGAGTGTGAAGATGCAATTTTTGCGCTCACATCTTGACTATTCTCCCAACAATTGTGGGGACCACAGTGAGGAACAAGGAGAGCGGTTCCATCGGGATATTTGCACCATGGAAAATCAATACCAGGGCAAATGGAATGTCAGCATGATGGCAGATTACTGCTGGTCATTGAAACGTAATGGTCTCGATGCACAGCACAAGCGAAAATCAAATTGGTCCTCCTTCCTTTGGTTCAGTATGTAGGCTAACTAACATTAGCATATTTTTTAAATAAAATCTTTCGATCTGATTGATGTTGATTTGAAATTAATATGTTCTTAAAACTAACAGAAGGTGCTTTTACATAATTATTTGTCTAATTTAAATAAATTAAGAATTTATTAAAAATTTACATTTTTTTATTATCATTAATTTATATTTATTCAAAATCCTTACGTGATAGATAAAATAGTTTAGATATTTACAATCAGCAGCCCAAGAATATGTAAGATAGCAACCATGAATAAAATAAAAAATTGAAAATATACCAAACGCAGACAAGTGTTATATTGGTAACTCTTCCTCTTGCATACTTCTAACTCTCAGTGATCTCTGATCTTCGCATATTTCCACTTTAGCACTTCCCACCCTGCACCGCTGTATGATCCTTGTAGGTTTAGCGCTTAGTTTTAATTGCAATAATAATAATCTGCAAGGCTGATCATCTTGTCTTCAACTGTCTTCGTATATTTTTTTCTGTACTGAACTGATAAAGCCACCAGCTGGCCAGACATCTTTCTGTACTGAACTGATAAAGGCACCAGCTGGCCAGACATCTTTCTGTACTGAACTGATAAAGCCACCAGCTGGCCAGACATCTTTCTGTACTGAACTGATAATGCCACCAGCTGGCCAGACATCTTTCTGTACTGAACTGATAAAGCCACCAGCTGGCCAGACATCTTTCTGTACTGAATGATAAAGCCACCAGCTGGCAGACATCTTTCTGTACTGAACTGATAATGCCACCAGCTGGCCAGACATCTTTCTGTACTGAACTGATAAAGCCACAGCTGGCCAGAATCTTTCTGTACTGAACTGATAATGCCACCAGCTGGCCAGACATCTTTCTGTACTGAACTGATAAAGCCACCAGCTGGCCAGACATCTTTCTGTACTGAACTGATAATGCCACCAGCTGGCCAGACATCTTTCTGTACTGAACTGATAAAGCCACCAGCTGGCCAGACATCTTTCTGTACTGAACTGATAATGCCACCAGCTGGCCAACATCTTTCTGTACTGAAACTGATAAAGCCACCAGCTGGCCAGACATCTTTCTGTACTGAACTGATAATGCCACAGCTGGCCAGACATCTTTCTGTACTGAACTGATAAAGCCACCAGCTGGCCAGACATCTTTCTGTACTGAACTGATAATGCCACCGGCTGGCCAGACATCTTTCTGTACTGAACTGATAATGCCACCAGCTGGCCAGACATCTTTCTGTACTGAACTGATAATGCCACCGGCTGGCCAGACATCTTCATATAAAGATACATAAGTGCTAACAGTTATCAGGTTCCTCAGCCTGACACACGAAACATGACAACATAATAACAATTAACTGGATGACGAACAGTTAGTTTAATAGGTTTATTATACACCTCATACCCATCCTGTGGGCGGTAGTCACTCTATACCCATCCTGTGGGTGGTAGTCACTCCATACCCATCCTGTGGGTGGTAGTCACTCCATACCCTTCCTGTGGGTGGTAGTCAGTCTATAGCCTTCCTGTGGGTGGTAGTCACTCCATACCCATCCTGTGGGTGATAGTCACTCCATACCCATCCTGTAGGTGGTAGTCACTCCATACTCACCCTGTGGGTGGTAGTCACTCAATACCCTTCCTATGGGCGGTAGTCACTCCATACCCATCCTGTGGGTGGTAGTCACTCCATACCCATCCTGTGGGTGATAGTCAAAAGATTACAAAGGTACATAACGGGTCCAGGGACTGGACCACAAAGTTTTGATAACTGAACAAGGTACAAAGGTAATGAACTCACAAGTTACAAAGAACACTGTAGTGGCATTTGAGTCCTTTTAATAATAGGTCTAAAGTGTTCAATCTAGAATTCTAGATAGATATCATTTAATTTATAATTAGTTTAAATGCAGTTCAAATAATTATGAAATACAAGGTGCACTAACCTATGTTTGTATCCTACAGACTGAGAAGTCACCGAGGAAGACGGTGAGTAAGCTGATGTTGTCAGCGGTGGAACAAGCTGACACGGGAGAGTACACTTGCAGTCCCACCGACCTGCAGCCTGCCGTCGTCACCGTACACGTGCAGGACGGTACGTCTGAGTATCAGATTTCATTATTATATTCACGTCTGAGTAGGTTACGGTACGCAGGGGCAGGGTTAGGGTACGTCTGGGCACCTCTGAGACGGTACAAGTACCAGTAGTGTTGTTATATTGTTTCTAGTAAGTGTACTAGTAGATGGAACTGCAGTAGCAGAAGAAAGACCTCTTGGCTGGAGTTGATTCTTGATATCAACTCTGTTAGAGTTGCTTACTATTCATTGCATCATAATATCCTATGACTCATTTGGATATCTAATTTGCAACACTGCCTCGTGTTCTTGTAGCATCTGTACTACGTCTAGGCTCCGTAATGTTATTAAACTCATGGGGAAAGCGCTAAACTCACTGGGGAAATGGAAAACAATAACATCTAATCTTAGGAAAGTGAGAATAATCCAATTACTTCAGTCAAGACACCTCCCGTGAAAGATATGTCCTGCTGTGTATGGTGTGACCATATACCCTCTTCTTCGCTCCTTCCGTAACATAAAACCAAGTTTTAGGATTCTATTTTGGCAAGAGAGACATCAGTCTTGATGCTTTGCCTTTCGCTCCTGCGATCATCTTTGTTGTGTCCACTCTACAACAACACGGTCTGGAGTTTTGAGACTCTCTAATCGCGGGTTGTATCCCCGTCCGTGGTATGGTTTGTTTGCAATCGTGTCATTACGATTTCGTAAGTCACTGAATTGTTATGAGTAAGTCACATATAAGAATAAAAGTATTTTGAGTGATTCTTAGCCAGAGTTCCTGAAGTTACTTATGTGTATGTAATCTTAGCCAATGATGCTGATTTTATCATTTATAATACATGTGCATCAGAAGAAGAGTGTGTGGGTTAATTGCTCGTCTAACATGGTTTGTTTACGGCCTCCTCTCCCCATCTCACAGCATCATAACTATTTGAACTACAATTAAATTTTACTTAACGTTTGTCAGACCGTTTCTGAAATAATCATCAACGGAGTGAACTCTTCCAATTAATTTGGCATTATCTGCAGAGGTCGCGCAGGACTTACTGACTCCTGTAACCCGACCATAAATAAACCCCACAACCAGTATGGTTCTAACACTGATCCTTGTGGAACTTCAACAGTTACGCTATTCTAGCTTGTACTCGCCTAGTTGTGGCTGCAGGGGTCGATTCATGGCTCCTGGCCCCGCCTCTTCACTGGGCGCTACTGGGTCACTCTCCCTGCACCATGAGCTTTATCATACCTCTTCTTAAAGCTATGAATGCATCCTGCCTCCACTACATCACTTCCCAAACTATTCCACTTCCTTACTACTCTGTGACTGAAGAAATACTTCCTAATATCTTTGTGATTCATCTGAGCCTTCAACTTCCAACTGCGTCCCTTTGTTGTTGTGTCCCATTTCTGGAACATTCTGTTTCTGTACACCCTGTCAATTCCTCTCAGTATTTTATATGTCGTTATCATGTCCCCGTATCTCTCCTCGTCTATTCCGTGCAGTATTTTATGTGTCGTTATCATGTCTCCCCTGACCCTCCTGGCCTCCAGTGTCGTCAGGCCGATTTCCCTCAACCTTTCTTCGTAGGACAATCACCGTAGCTCTGGGACTAGTCTTGTTGCAAACCTTTGCACTTTCTCTAATTTCTTGACGTGCTTGACTAGGTGTGGATTCCAAACCGGTGCTGCATACTCCAGTATGGGCCTGACGTAAATGGTATACAGAGTCTTAAACGAATCCTTACTGAGGTATCAGAACGCTATCCGTAGGTTTGCCAGGCGCCCGTATGCTGCAGCAGTTATCTGATTGATGTGCGCCTCAGGAGATATGCTCGTGTTATACTCCCCCCCCCAGATCTTTTTCCTTGAGTGAGGTTTGCAGTCTTTGGCCATCTAAATATATTGTGTCTGCGGTCTTCTTTGCCCCTTCCCAATCTTCATGACTTTGCATTTGGCAGGGTTAAATTTTCAAGGAGCCAGTTGCTGGACCAGGCTTGTAGCCTGTCCAGGTCTCTTTGTAGTCCTGCCTGATCCTCATCCGATTTGATTCTTCTCATTAACTTCGCATCCCTCTGCAAACAAGGACACTTCTGAGTCTATCCCTTCCGTTTTGTCGTTCACATATACCAAGAACAGCACAGGTCCCCAGGACTGACCCCTGTGGAACCCCGCTTGTCACAGGCCCCACTCTGACACCTCGTCGCGTACCATGACTCGTTGTTGCCTCCCTGTCAGGTATTCTCTGATCCATTGCAGTGCCTTTCCTGTTATGTGTGCCTGATCCTCTAGCTTTTGCAGTAACCTCTTGTGAGGAACTGTGTCGAAGGCCTTCTTGCAGTCCAAAATATGCAGTCGATCCACCCCTCTCTCTCTCTTGTCTTACTTCTGTCACCTTGTCACAAAACTCTAGTAGGTTTGTGACACAGGATTTTCCTTCCCTGAAACCGTGCTGGTTGTCAATTATACACTTGTTTCTTTCCAGGTGGGCCCCACCACTCTCCTCCTGATGATCTTCTCCATGACCCCTTTCATACTATACACGTTTTGTGATACAGGTCTTGTAATTTAGTGCCTCATGTCTGTCTCCCTTTTTAAAAATTGGGACTAAAATTTGCCATTTTCCATACCTCTGGGAGTTTTCCCAGTTTCAAATGATGTGTTGAAGATCTTTGTTTAAAGGCTCACACAATATCTCTGCTCCCTCTTTAAGGACCCATGGAGAGATGTTGTCTGGTCCCCCACCGCCTTTGAGTGTCAAGTTCGCATAGCAGCTTCTTCACCTCCTCCTTGGTTATATGTACCTCATCCAGCACTTGCTGGTGTGCCCCCCTGTTCTGATTTCCTGGAGTCCTGCTGGTTTCCACTGTAAATACCTCTTTAAATCTTGTGTTTTGCTCCTGACATACCTCTTGGTGTTTCTTGTGAATTCCCCATCACCCTTTCCCATCTGATTACCTGGTTTTTGACGTTTTTTCCTCCGATTGGCTGTCAACAGCTTGGGGTCAGTCTTTACTTTTAAAGCTATGTCTTTTTCATATTTCCTGAGCCTCCCTTTTCTTATCTGTGCATTTTTCTTTCGGCTCTTCGGCTGATTTTTTTATTTTCCTGAGTTCTCTGTCTTCTGTCCTTTTTTTCCTTCTCTAGTGACCAAGTTTTTGCCTCCCTTACCTTTTTGGGTGAACCAAGGACCGTTTCTTTTCTTCCCTTATTTTTTTTCCCCCTTGGGAAAAAAACCTCCTCCCTGCCTCCTTTGGGGGGTTTTTTGTGTACATTCCTCTTTCTTGTACTTTTCCCTTTCGGGGCCCCTTCCCAAAATAAAAATTCTTGAGGAAGTTCCCATCCCTGAGATTTCCCTTTTTGTAGTTTGGTTTTTCCTCCTATTCCTGCTACTCTCCCACTTGGAGCTCAACTATTAGTCGAAGCACAAAACCATTTGATCACTAGCTCCCGGGGACCTTTCTACATGATACCCTCGATTTCCAACTACTCAGGTGAATACAAGGTCCACCTTGCTGGTTTCACCCTCTCCTCTCTCTCTGGTGTGTCTCTAACATGTTGATGCATGGGGTTTTCCAGCACCAAATCCATCATTTTGGGCTCTACATGTTTGGGGACCCCCATGGGGCTCCGGGTTTTTCCCACAATCTCCTTGTGATTGAAATCCCCCCCATAACTATAACTTTGCTCCCCCCATTTTGCTCTCCTGGCCACCTCGGGTAGTGGTGGATCATTGCTCTGTTGTCTCAAAAGTATTCTTTCTTGCCTCCTGCAGTTCTGTGGGGGGGTTTTACATTACTGCAATTACCCCTTATGTCCGTCAGCTGGGTTGTTCCTACTAATAGTCCCTTTCGCCTTGCCCTCCATTTCCCTTTCCTTTTCTCAAATTCCCCCTGTTTTTAAAAAGATGCAACTCCTCCTCCCCTCTCCTCCCCCCGTCTTCCCGAGGATTTGGTATCCGGATGGAAAATTGAATCTGTTATTATTCTGTGATTTTTTTCTGTGAGTGCTATTTTTCTGGGGATCTCTCTTATTCTTTCGTGCCATCCTCATACTTTTTGTTATTCCCTCTGCATTTGATACCACACCATCAACTTCCCTTTTTTTTAAGACTGGGTCTGGGGGGTATATTGGGGTTGGGGAAGTGGGAACCTGGGAAGGAAAATATGGGGTTTTTGCTGTGGGGGTGGAGTTTGAGTGTAGTGGGGGGGCAGATGTGGCATGGGTGTTTTGATTTTGAGTGTTTTTTTGCACTGGGGTTGACCGGTTGGGGGCTTCTAAGGGAATTGTGAGGAAGGCTGCATTTGATCTTCTTCCTGGGTCTGGTCTCCTGTCTGTCTTCTCCATCCCCTCTTTCCTCCTTTTTGCCTTTGTCCATTTCCCCTTTAGTTTCTGCCTTTCTTCTTGTTTCTGTCGTGGTCGAGATACACCTTCCTTATGCCGGGATGTCCCTTTAACGTGCTTCTCCTGCAGGATCCTGGGCTGATCGCTTCTGCCCCTTTAAGGTCACTTTCACTGGCCGGGTTCTTTTTTTTTCAAACCCCCCTATTTCCGAAAATTTTCCACTGGGTCATGTCGTCTTCTCCTATTTCTTTCATGATGCTTTTAATTGCTTTTTTTTCCCTTGTTTTCTTGCTTCATATGTTTCCCCTTCAACTTCCTGGCCCATACAAAAAGACTGACCTCACCCTTTCATTCTCCCACTGCGTATCCCTGTGTACCCCTTCTTTTAATTTGCTTTCCTGCACTGCAGCTTTCCTTTCTTCAGTTTCACTGGCTAATGTATTTGGGCTCATGGCCTGTCATTTTCCCTTCCGGTTTTTCCTTGGGCTCTGTTGTTTTTCTGTTGGGGCCTCCACATAAAGCTTAGCTCTTTCATTTACTATAGTCCTCCTCTGATAGAGCTTCTCCATGCAGTGGGCCCCTTTCTTTCCCCTACAGTCCCCTTATTTGTGGCTGAGGTAGCAGTCTCTGTTGTCAATCCCAAAATGTTCTTTAGTTCTTTAGGCTGTTTCAGATTTTT